CACTGATCTGATTCCGATTGAGGCTTGGAGAGGTTTGGGTAAAGAGGGAATTGATATCCTCTGGGACCTTATGAAGAAACTCTGGCAGCAGGAGAAGATCCCAGATGAATGGAGGAAGAGCATTCTTGTGCTGATCTTTAAAGGTAAAGGAGATGTACAGAATTGCAGAAATTACAGAGGTATAAAGATATTGTGCCATACTATGAAGATTTGGGAGAAAATTGTAGAAAGAAGGATTAGACAGTAATCTGAGATTGGAGAGGAACAGTTAGGCTTTTTGCCGGGAAGGAGTACGACTGATGCTATCTTTGCTCTAAAACAGCTGATGGAAAGGCACAGGGAAATGCAGGAAGATTTGCACATGGTGTTCATAGATCTAGAAAAGGCATATGATAGGGGATAAAGGCAAGAGATATGGAGATGTTTGAGGGAAAAAAATGTTCCAGTAAAATATGTTAGGCTTGTCAAGGAAATGCACGAGGGGACAGAGACCCAAGTTAAGAGTAGTGCGAGCACTACAAAAGGGTTCTTCGTTAATGTTGGTTTGCATCAAGGATTGGCTCTTAGCCCTTATTTGTTTGACCTGATAACGGACGTGTTGGTGTGTAACGTGAAGTGTGAGACTCTGTGGAGTATGCTGTTTGCGGATGATGTGAACTTTCCCAAACCAAGGCTGAGATAGAAACCAGAAGATTGGAGGAAAGTTTTGGAAGAAAGGGACATGAAGATTAGCAGAACTAAAACAGCTTATATGACTCTGAATGGTAGAGATGAGTGTAATATTAAAATCCAAAATGAGCCGCTCCCTTTTGTTCCGAGTTTTAAATATCTTGAGACATTTGTCGAGATGGGAGGAGGATTGAACTTGGAGGTGCAACATAGAATTCAATCTGGATGGATAAACTGGAGGATGCTGAGTAGTGTGTTATGTGAGAAGAAAGTTAGCTGCAATCTGAAAGGAAAATTGTATAAATCAGTTGTTAGACCTGCAATGTTATATGGAGCTGAGACATGGACAATAACAAGAGCACAAGAAACATGGAAGTGGCAGAGATGAGAATGTTGAGATGGATGTGTGGAGTATCAAGGAAGGATAGAATAAGGATCAATTTTATTAGAGGTTCCGTTAAGGTGGACCCCTTGAGCAAAAAGATGCAAGAATGCAAGTTGAGGTAGTTTGGCCATGTAGAGCAAAGAAATGACAATTATGTTGGAAAGAAAGTCGGAAAACTGGTAGTAAAAAGAAAGAGGAAAATAGGAAGATCAAAGATGCATTGGAAAGATAATGTGGAAGAAGACTTGAACCAGAGGGGACTTAATTTAAGAGAGAAGAAGCTCTTGACAGAGAAATGGAAAAAACGTATTAGAGAAGGAAACTGCACTTACACTTGTTGGAGCGGAATTCGGCAAACTTTTTGATTTGAAATCTGTTCGATTTTTTCGCAAGTACAGTTGACCCCCCTATAACNGTCTTCCACATAATAATTATTATCCAAGAATATTATAAAATAAATATTTACAAGTCAGTTTGGTTTTCATATCATTTGGTTCACAAATAATCTTATCTTCATATACTTTTAGATTAGAATGCACTTTAACAAATTTTCTTTATTTTTGAAAATCCAAAAAAATTTTAAATTTTACCAAAGACTAGATCGTTTATTAATTTCAATATACAGTGGGTGATCAGTTAATGAACATAATCCGTTCCAAGACTTTGTTTGTTATCCGAATTGTTCATTAACCGATTATCGATTCACCATAGGTTTTTATGGGAATTTGATTAATTCATTCCGGAGACTCCAAAAATAAAAAATAAATACTTTTTTACTACATTTATTTATATGTAATACAAAAATACATATATATGCAGTCTTGCATTTTTAATAGTCATGTTTTTTCTGTTTGTGGGGGTTAAAGAATCTGTCCAATGTCGATTGATTTTCTCTTTTCTTTAGGATTTTTCGGAAGTAATTAATTTAATAGTATTGTAATTGTAGAGATTCCCAATCCCATTAACCTTATTCTGATTTGGATGCCACTTGGATGATCATTGTTCTGACATCCTCCCACTTCTTCAAAAGATCTTTAGTAGCAGATGTCAACATTGGTTCTCTTTCGTCTTCCTCTTTTTCAAAAGAAAACACATCATGCTGAGTTTCTTGGTATTCTTCATTTGAGAGTTCTTGGAGTTCTTCTGTCGTCAGATCAGTTTCCATTATGAGCTTAAAGTGCTCTTTATTTCTTTCATAGCTAAGATTGTGCCTACTGTAGACCTGTTCAAGCCATACTGCCTAGCAACATCAAACATCTTGTGCCCACTTTCTACCTTGGCTATTATCTCTTTGGTTTCTACGGTGAGTATAGTTCTTGACACTCCTCTTTTTAGGCTCCATACTATTATCAGTTTCTTTTTTAAATAAAAAGTTCAGAAAAGCACTTACAAAAATTCAGAGAACAGAAATCAACTAACCCACAAAAAATTATTTAAATGCAAGACCCAGATGAAATTCGAAATTTGGTATTAAAATGTTAATGAATATCCAATGGGATAGTTAAAATTTCACCTTTTTTAAATAAATCCCAACACCAAACTTAACAAGTGCCCGTCCAACAGTCTCGCTAAGACTATAAAAAATTATTTGTCAGAAAGGTAAACAAAAAGCTGGAATTACAAGGGAGAGTTTCAAAAATCGAAGGAATACTATCTGATTTGTATTGGGTTGAGCGTCGATGTTGACGTCTCCCTCATTCCAAAAGGTTTCAACTTGTTACCTGAAGACAAGGAAAAATCAATCTGTATTCATTATTTTCCATCACTTCTTTTTATGTTTATTCAGTAAAGTGTTTGTTGTCCGATCATAAAAATCTTTTGTGAAAGCATTCATTATCCGATTTGTTTGCTATTTGAACTGTTTGTTAACTGATCACCCACTATATTTAAAAGATGGTGAGACATCATTTTACTAGTAATAATAAATCAGCTACTAAATAATTTACATCAAATTCTGCCATTCAAATTCAAAAATAAAATCAAAACTTTCTTTAAGATGCAGATTTCTAAAGAAATGTTAGCTTTTAAAAAGAAAATGCCTTTAAAATATTTTACAAAAGATGAATATCAGTTGCTGTCCAAGCAGATATTCATACTTTTGTTTGAAATTGATATAATTAATTGATATAAATAATTAATTAATATATGAAATTTATATAATANGAAGGACTATATTGGAGTCACAAGACGAAATTTGGCTATTAGGCTTAAAGAACACAGATATGACATTAGCAAAGGACATTGTATCATGGTTTTGTCAAATATGGCACAAGCGGAGGCTTCAGTAGTTAAATGGAATGAAGCATCTATTCTCAAGATGTTGAGGTCTCCATCTTTGGCGTTGCAACATGAAAAAATTGAAATTTATAAGAGTAAATTAAGAGACGGCTGTATCAATGAAAGGGATGCTGATGGTTTACCATCGGCATGGAAGTTCCTTGTAAAAGAAAAGTTAAAACACACAAATTCTTAGTTCCTATCTGCCCTTTATAATGTGATGTTTTTTATGTATATATTTTTATGAATTTAGTCCTTTTGTGCATTTAATCCTTTACGTTTATTTATTTTGTTTTTATTTTTATATTGCCTTATTTATTATTTATATTAATATGGGGTCAATCTATTTAGTATACTTATTTTGTATATTGATTGGTTAATTTATTTTTCGTTTTAATTTTGAATTTATAATGATCGAACATTCCATTTAATACAACTTTGAAATACATTCGAATGCCAGTTCACCTGAAGATGGCCTATTCCATTAGGTTGAAAACATATGTGTTTCAATACATATATCTCAGCATATAAGGTGTTAAGTGTTTTTATTAAAGGTAAAATATAAGGTATTTAAAAATACAGCCATTATCCATTTGAATCAAATGCATTCCTGAAAATGATTTGAATATAGAAAAGAATTTTCTATGATTTTTTACAGAAAAAATTCTAATTCATTCCCAATCCATTTGAGTAACCCCAACCAATTTTCCGAAATGAGACTAAAAAATTTCAGAAAATCTATTTACAGTACTTATTAATTGATGTTTTCAGCATAAATGAAACACTACAAATTCCAATTAAATACAACAGATAAGCTTGTTTACTATTCCTATCAAAAATTATATGGAAATTGCATTTTCTTTAAAGAAAATAAATACAATAAATGGCAATGAAAATGTTGTAATGATATACTGTATATATTATATTAAAAAATTAATGTATAAAGACAATAACAATGAAAATAAGCAAACATGATAGTGAGGCTATTATAGTGAACTGCTATAAACATTGCTTTGAAATAATGATTGTCATTAACTGAAAAACTAGTATATTGAAGACAAAATGCCACTGAAACAAATGAAAACAGATAATGAGAATGGAGTCATTCTACACTTCCCACTTTTAGTACTGCAACTTTCAAATTTTTCACAAATGTGCCTCAAAAAAATTTGCAATTATATGAGATTATAAATATAATCGAACACCAAACACTTGCTGAGCTTACTATTAATTTAATATTCAAATGCTTTCAGCCTATATTTAATTAATAGGCCATCCTCAGGAAGTAAGTAAACAGCTGAGGACGTCAGGATAGTATATGAGATTATTTAATTCAAATATTGTGAGACTACTAAAGAACATGGTTTGTTACAGTGGAAATTTGAATACTGGAGTATGATTTGTTATTTATTTATTTTGAATTTTGCTATGGAGAGAGAGACTAATGAAAAACAAATAATATTATGATAACAATCAACAAAGTTTCAAACTAAACTAAATAAGAATTTTTTAAAAATCAAATTCAAAGATCTTTGAAAATAGAGTAAAATTCTGAAGCATTCAGGCAATTAATGTTGTTGAGACAGTTAATGCAAATGTTTTTTAAGCTTAAAAAGTCTGGAATAAGTAATATATGCTGATTTAATACATTTAAAAATATATAAATTACCTGGAGTAGTTGCTGGTGAACCTACAACCATTGTAGATGTTGGAGGTTGAGGTTGATATCCTAAAATAAAAGCATTTTTATTTATTTAAATATTTATAAAGTAAATATTTTCAGAATTTTTATGTTAATTATTAAATTAAAGAATAAATTCAAATGTACCAAATTCCAAATAAATCAAGGACTGATTTTTCATATTCATCATTATAATAATATTACAACTTCTTTTCAAATTAAATATATTAAGACAAAGAAACTAAATGAAATTATTTTGTAAGTTTTTCTTTTTAAACAATTAATAGTTGCAATGGACGAGTAATTAATCAATGCATGCTAAAAATTTGGCATTATTACTTTATGAAAACTGATGCAATAAAAACAAGTAAATGAAGAAATAACTCATAGAAAAATAGGTTAAATTGTCAAAAATACTGATTGTTTACTACTATAATCCATGCAGCAAAAGAGTAGACATGAGTCAGTCTGAGTGGTAAGATCCTATGTCAGATGAAAAGGATAGAAAGAGACTTGATGGAGCCCATAGATTTCAGTATAAAATTTATAAAATAAAGTGTAAAACAATAAAATTATGATAAAGATAACAAAAAACTTTAAAAAAAAAACAGCCAAAAGAGGAAAGAGATCCATATGTCAACTTTCACATCTCCTTCTATCTGACATAGACCCTTCTGGTTCATGCTGACTCATGTCTACTCTTTTGCTAAGCAGTCTGTAACTACTATAGTAATATAAGTATATTATTAAATTTCAAAATAAGAACAAAATAATTAAACTTGAATTTATACGTTATACTATTTACTACTTAAATATTACATAAAGCTAAACTGCTGAATTTTTTGGCTATATTTTCACTAATTTTTAATTAAATGATGAAATTTAATTACTTAATTACATTAGCTGAAAATCTTGCAGTTCAGATTTACAACTGATTAATCCAAACAGAAAAACAGTAAAATGCTTTAATGGAATGCTCTATTTAAAGCATTCTTACTATTTTTTCAATTTATATTTTGTAGAGTTTCTGAATTAATCCAAATTTCAGTTAATTTTTATATACTAAACATTTTATCATATCTACTTCAGCCATTTATTTAAATGATATTTACATAATCCATTAAGTTTATTTTATGAAAATAATGTTTCAAAGTGATGAAATTGACTTATTTTATTCGATTGAATATCTATTCATTTAATAAGTTTGTATCAATGTTCAGTTATCTTCATTTATTTGGATAAACAAATTGAATGACCACATTAATAAATAAATTGATATGATATTGATTTTTGATTAAACAAAATTTAAATACTGTAAATTATCTCTTTATTTATTAAGTATAACATCTTTAATATACATACATTCAAAACTTTTTAAAATAAAAAATAATTTAAAATATAATAAAGAATAAGCTTAATGACAACAAGAAATGATTTTAATGAAAATTACTCAGTGATGAAATAATGAATAATAGTTTTCATAAGAAGCAAAAAAATAAAATAAATAAATAGATTTAGTAAAGAATAACAAATTTTAAATTATTTACTGATATTTATTTTGATGACTAAGCTTAATATTCTGATGAATTTTGTAGTAGTTGTAACATTAATAAATAGACCAATAATATCAATAGTTTTAATATTGCTCAAAAAGCAAGTAAGGGGGAGAGACAAATTATAAAACTATGTAGCATATCTAAGTATTATACATAACACTACAGTAAGGCCTTGTTTTAGGCAAGATTGATATAAGCAGATTAATGTTTTTGCAGATGATGAATGATTAGATTAACTTTAGATGGATGCATAGGCATAATTCTGACCTATTAATGTACTATCATGCAGAGTTTCTTTTTTAATGAAATTATGATGCGAAAGTGTAATATACAAATTAGAAGCAATTTTCTGCAACTTACCTTTGAGGAAAAAAATTATCAAGATAAGATGACAGTAGAAAATTCTAATGCAGATACAAAGAAAGCAGAAAATAAGTTGTATGTAGGCAGTATTCATCTTTCATATATTAAAAAATCTTATTCTTTTTTTATAGACATAACCACACAATTAATAAATTTTTATTTCTTTCTGAATTATATTCTAAATATAGTAAAAACACCACATACCATACCATACATTACTGGACATTCTACTAATAAAATTGTCCTACATCATAAATTACTTATTGGTCAAAAATCTAATATATTATAAGAAAGTAACAAAGTATTGAAATGCTGTTCTTCTTAATTTAGAAAATAAATCTAAATGATATTGTTAAAGAAAAGTATTAAGATAATTTTTAGTATCAATAATTTATTAAAATTTACAACTTACTCTGTTTTGAGCCTACTATATAAGATAACTGTGTTTAAGTGATCACATTTAGTTCTAAAAGAAGTGCATCTAGTGATAGAGAAAGTCATAAAAATGTCAGAAGAATGATAACTTTAGATGAAAAAGTACAGCTTCTAGGTAAATGTCAACAAGGTCTCTCATATGTGACCTTAGATTGCTTGTTTTGTGTCAACAAAAGTACTGTATAAACGTAAAAAAAAACAAGAAACTAAGATCAGAATAACATCACAAACTGGTGAAATTTAGATGACTATGTTAATTTTTCATTAGCAATTATAATCATAATAGCATATAAAATGTTATAGCTTGCGATTCCAGAATTTCAAAAAGATGCTATTTAGTATGCAAAGTATCATAATTTTGGATAGATAACCTGCAATTGGTATAAACCCATAAAAAATTGTAAGAAACCTTTGTATAACCTGCTCTACCAAGCCATTGAGTTGGCTATTGACAAGATAATTACATATGTCCAGTTTAAAACTTGCTATTTCAAGCACAAAAGTATTGTGTTCCCTGTTTCATTTCTATTAACAAATCATTGTAGATATACATAAACAAATCCAATATTCTGTAATAATCATATTACAGAATACTGACATTACCATAAACCCAGTTATATAGTATGAATCAACTTTAACTTATAATTGGAATTTTAAATTGGCATGTAATATTGCCCATCACATAACCTGCAGATTACCTGTCCAAAATTTCAGTAAAGATTATAAAAGACAATGAAGTTGCTATGATCTCCCTGTGCAACCAAAGCTTAGGTAAAATGCATATAAATGATATAAACCTGAAAAAGTTTACATCATCAATGAGATGGCATTGTTTTTGAAGAGGATACTTTAGTGCATCTATAAAAAGAACTGTTGAAGAGGAAAAGGAGCCAGGTTTCAAGACAATGAGACATTAAACTATACAGTAGACCCCCCTATAACACAGGTTCCTATAACGGAGATTCCTATAACGTGGCAAAAAAATTGCGACAGTATTCGTATAAAGATGCTAAAAGGGACTCGTAAAATGTCATCACCGACTCGTGTCACGACAGGATTGGTCAAATCTGGACCAATAGTAGATGATCAGCCGAACTACTTACACGCTACAGAGAGTTTAGGCAAGTAAGTTGAGTTTACTATCGTCTGTACAGTATGTAAATTAGGTACCGTAAGTCTAATACAGTACTGTAATTTTATACATTTCTTGTGAAAGAAACATTTCTTATTCAACGGCCATAAAAATTATTAATATTAATGATGTCTCTAAAAGTCAACAAATTTTTCGCAGAAAAATAACTTATCAGAAATCGCAGCCGCCATTTGGTGCGCTGCTCCGCGACAAAAACAAGCTTAAGCAATGGCAATGTCGAACGGTGCACACTTGGTAAGTAATCCTGCAATTTTTTGTTTATAGCATAGTTTATACGGATTATTCCCAAAAATTATACGTGTTTTGGAAATGTTGAGTCAAATTACTCTAGAATCGATTAATTTTATGGAAGAAAACCTTTCAAACAGCCGTAGTCCATAAACTTCACATGTGTCGGGTTGAGATTGGCTCATGTATTTAAGGATTCCTACAACGTGAAATTCTTATAAAGTGGTATGTATCTACCATGTTATAGGGGGGTCTACTGTACTGCTGCTTTGCAGAAATAAGTAGGCCAAATGATAATGCCTGAACTAATTTACTGAACACAAAATCCAAGCGCTCTTAGAAGATATAGTAAAAATATTCTTTCTGTATATTGGATGTAGAACAAGAAAGCTTGTATGACAAAAGAACTTTTTGGAATAATTTCACAATTCAAAATAATGCTTTAGGACATTCAAGTGATACAAACAAGTTTGCAAATGAAGTAGATAATGTCATGTATTTATCATACTACTAATCATATCCTTTCCATCTGCTTATTCAGAGAATAATCAGATCCTTTAAAGCCATCATACAAAGAACTGTGTAAGTTGTATCATTGAGGCTTCAATCAGCAACAACAACCTCAGCGTCATTCAGTTTTGGAAGGGCTTCACCATAGCTGGTGTCTTCCTAATAAAAACAAGGTTCTGGAGGATACAAAAGACAAATCTGTAACTATGTGTTGGAAGAACTAAGAACTATTCCAGACATAAAGCATAAGTAATAAACTTTTCAAAGCCCAATACAATAATTTATAGCCCAATTAATTACAATGATTGTTTGGTTGAATACAGCCTAAAAAAACTAGAAATAAAGGAGATGGCTTATAATTTAAGGCCTTAGAAGAAGAGGACATCAAAGAATTAATTAATGGACAGACAACAGTATTAATTAGTGATGTAACGAATATTCGGTTACTATTCGGTATTCGGCCTATTTTTCACTATTCCGCCGAATACCGAATATTTAATCACTATTCGGCCGAATACCGAATATTTAATCACTATTCGGCCGAATACCGAATACCTAAAAGCAGGAGTAATAAATAACAAAAACACAGTAAATTAATCATTTTGTTATTTAGATTTAATGTTATCGAGTTAGTGTTGTTTGTTTATATTTATTTACAACTNGTTGAACAGTAGAGAAGGAAATGCCGACCTCATATAAACTTGGGAAAAAGTGAAGAAGAAGAAGTGCAAAATAAAGAAATCATTTTTAACGATACAATAGCCACAATTATTATTTTAAAAAAATTTTCGTTAGGCTTAACA